ACTTCTCAAGTCTTTTGCCAAACCCTTGGCACATGTGGTTTGGTTGCAAAACTGGGCAAACTCGTCAAGCCAATTCTGCTAATGCCTGCAGAAGAGAGGCCACAGAGAGGTACAGATCCCAGGTAATGGTCTCAATGCGAAGCTAATCTTGTAAGAAGTGTCACTCCTGGAAGTAACCAAAGGCCTAATCAACCATTTTCTAACAAATTGCCAACTTGAGAGATTTCCTGTGAAAATTATTCCTGCATTTGACTCCATATAGAGACCCTTCCCCCATCTTCAGGCTCTGTGTGTGCCCTTTTGCTCTGATCTTTCCTTCCCTTCTCCCTCCCTAGCTCCCACTTCCCAGATCAGCCCTATGACAACCCTGGATGGAGAAGAACAAGAGGTGCCCAGCAAGGTAGAGGTGATCCAGGCAGGAGGACAGCATCTTCAAAGGTATGATGAGACAGAATAACATCGGGGAGAGGAAACAACCTCGAACCAACCAGGAGAGACAAATGAGGTGGCTGGGTCAAAGCAACAGCAAAGCAAAGGACAATTTGTTGTTTGTGGCAGAGGTACTGCACTGATTGATAGTTCATCAGGTCTGGATCCTATGGACAAGAAGAAGAAGAACAAAGGAGGAATAAATGTGATAAGGGAATGAAGGAAGCTGTAGAGAATCAAATAGAGAGTCCCAGACCTTCTCACTCACCTGTCAGGAAAAACATCTGTCCCCCTGCTGATGACTGGTGGCCTCTGGCTTCAGTTTTTCCGAGCTGGCCTCCCAACCCATGTCTGCCAGTTCCACAGCAAAATGATACAGAGCCACAAATCTGAGAGTAGAGGAGTTAAAACTACACAATGACCACAAGATCCTTCTGCTGGGCCAGAGCCTACTGGAGAGCCTGGTACATCACATCCCTTCAGTTTGGGGTGTTATCACCTGTGACCCAGGATTTCACCTGCTTTTGTTTTGCATCCCAGTCAGAAGGTTTCCACCCCAGAGGAGCCTGCAGGGAGCTCAGCACTTTCTCAGCAAGGTCTTGGTTTCCCTATCCAGCCTTGAGCTAGACTCCAAGGAATGTTTTCTGATTGCCTTGATGTGGTCAGAAATTGTTATAATGCAGCTTTTCAGAAAGAAATGTTGAATTTATATACATAAATACTGAAGTATTGAATAGAGAACTGACACCTTGTTTCTACTGATAAATCCTAGAAAGTAGACAGCGTACATTTAATACCCTTAAAATTAAACCATTCTAAAGTAGGTATGCAAAGATTTTCATTCCCCCTTTTCTCCTCTTTGTGCATAGGTTCTGGTATTTAGAGAAAATCCTGCAGCAAACAGTGATATTTCTTGTTACTCAGATGATGAGCAGCTGAAATCCACCACAATCTCACTTATGAAAATAGCTACATTCCTGTAGACAAGGAAGGCTCAGGGCAGACTGATTTCTTTAAACCTCAAATGTAAGCCTGGGTGTTTATGATGAAATGCTGGACTTTCTGTAATTTATTTGAGGGAAAATATCAAACAAAATATTCTGATTGAAAAAATTAACTTTTTTTGACTAAAAGTTTAGGGTTTTTTTTCTGCTAACTTTTCGTTGCATCTCAGTCCTTCATGTATAATTTCAAGTGCTATTTTACTAGAAAAGCTTCCTTTTCCTCCTTTTTCTTTAGGGTGGTTAAAGACCACAGCTTCTGACAAGGTAGAGAACTCAGAACTCTGTTTATATTGTGTATGGGTTTTAGGTTGAGGATTCCCTCAGGCTTCCCAGAAATTTCAGGTGGCTTTTTTCAAAGCTGAGCAGACTACAACAGAGTCCACAAACCAAACTCTTATCCACAAACACCTGGACAAGAGTTCAGTGCTCCTTTCACACACAGCTTTATATGTGCAAAGATGAAAGAAGCAGAGATATGAAAAAGCCCTTTGTATGGCTTCCAAAATGTGAGTAATTACTGGTATACTGAGAGTGAAAACAAAAATATACTTGATTTGTGTCTGCCTGGTTTGATAGTCTTATTTATGAAAGAGAAAAATGTACTCAATTAGTGCAATTCTCTTATTTCAGGTATTTCCAGGGCTCAAGTGTTGAAAACTGAATGAAAAACAATAGGTCATATTTTCTTCCATGTGTGAGTTCATAGGAAAATTTACTGGTGTGGTATTTAGATGAATCGTTCCCCTAGGGTCGTGCAATAGAGAATTGATGAATCATGCTTTCAAACTTCTATCATCAAAATAAAGTTTGTTTTCACTATATGAATTTAGTCCCAAAACAAAGTTCCTTTTCACTGTTATGAATTTAGTCCCAGCCCACTGCCAGTAGTGGTTTCAGAAGAAGAATATTCCTCCTATTTCAGCCATGACTTGTAAAATATCTAAGGCCAGCATTTCAGCTACATTTCAGAGTCACATCTTTAGCCAGAGCTGTTGAGGCAATTCATTTGCACCTTACCGCTCTCTTAGAACCAGGAACCCAGTACCTGGGCAGAGAAAAATACCAACACAATACATTTTTGAAATAGCCTGACATGCCAAAACAGGAACATGGGCATTTTATACAACCTGAGGACCCTTCATTATATATCAACATATATATAGATAGATAGATAGATATAGTATACCATCAGTTAAAAAGGACACTCCTTACATGAGTTAAAACCTTAACCCAAACTGGTTAATGTCAAGATCAAAGGATCCCAGAGCTGAGAGGTGCAGGCTAAATTTGCTTTATCAAGAGAAACACATTACCCAGAGCCAATTTTTCCCATGTAAGAGGCAAGCAGGAGGGTGACATTCTCACTTGCCTTCTTTCCATCTGTTAGGGGAAATTATGCCCTGCATCGACACCACTGTTGCCCTGGGCTGGACAAGTGGCAGTGACGAGAGGTGGCCAAAGATAGAGTTAGGTGAGACCAACAACTGTCAAGTCCCAAAAGAAACAAACTCCTTCTGATCCCCTCAGTCATGTGCTCGTTTGTCTTTATTTCATACTCTTTTTTCCTCCCCCCGACAGCTAAGAGCTAGTTAATTATCCATAGTCTCTCTGCTTGCATTCAGTTTGTTGCCATTACAGAAGTCAAACTCCACTGCACTAGCATACAGCATTTTATGGCGCTGCATCTTAGTAGATGGCTTTGTGTAGCATGAAGGCAAATACATGTATTGGTTTTAAGTGTTCTGCCTTTGGATGCCATTTGCTGTTCTCATTCCAATATTGTGAAAGAAAAATAAATCTTGTACAGAATTTTGCTTATGGGTAAACCACCTCATCCCTCTCTTTTATTCAGTATCTGGACCTATCATGCCACAAAAGCTTTTCACAATCCAGCATTCAGCTAAAAAGCAAAAGAAATTGCAATCCCACAGATAAATAGATACTTTCATGACTCCAAACCCTCCTTTCCCCCACTCCAGGTGATCAGCTTGTAGAAAAGAATAGTAGGTAATCTAGGCTGTCTTCCTGGATTTGAAAAGGTTTCTTTGCAACTTTGCGCCTTTCTCTCTTCCCTCAGAAAATTGTTTTAATTACCTATGTCCAGGCTCCCTGTTTCTGTGAGAGAATCCTTTCTCTTTTTTCTTTTTTTTTAAGGACCCCTTAAACAGTAGCAGAAACCCTATGTTTAAACTCAAGTAAGCCTCTCTAAATTGCAAGTGCAGACTGTGCAGAATGCAGGCTGAGGCTACACAGCCCGCTCAGGAGGAGTGCCAGGGGCTCTTACCCCCTTCCTGTTCTCCACAAACCCAGGGGTAAAACTTGCTTCTCCCCTGGCCTCTTCCCTCACAGAGGAAGAAATAAAGCTGCAATGACGGAAAAATTTGGAAAAAACATTGCTTCCTCCTTTGAAAATTAGGGAGCTCAGGAGAAAAATCCCACTTGTGACAGCTGCAGCCAGTTCCCCTTTCCCCTCACTCACCAGCTGCTCTATTACTAAGTGTTAGGGAGCCCAAAAAAGCATTTTATGGCAAGGACCAGATTTATTCATTCTCAACTCACCCACTTGGTTTCATTTTAGGTTACTTGACTTTTTGACTACAACTCAGTCTGATTCATCTGGGATGCCCATTTGAAATACATGGATGAGGAAAAACCAGATGACATGCACTTGCTCCAGGAAGCCAGAAAGAGAGGAAACATCCTGCACTTGCAGTCTTCATGCTCCCCACAAGACCAACATCAGCCAGGTGGTCTCATTTCTCCTTCCCTGGGTCTATAAGATTTCATGAGCACATGGTGCAATTCAGAGAATTACAGGAGATTACAGCTCAGAGCTGACCTACAGGCTATAAGCAAAGAATTTTCACCATAGGTAACACTTGTTGCCTTGTCATTGTGTGTATCTGCCCATATGCAGCACCCACCTCCTTACAGCTAGCAGCCACCAGCAGCCACCTGCCACGACACCAGAACAAAAACAAAACACACCAAGCAGCCCTACTACCCCTCCAACTGCTCTTTTATTGCCCTGCTTCCTCCTGCAGGTGGGTGGGCTGCCCGGAAACACAAGGCAGCTGTGATGGATCAGGGAAATTACGAAGGGGGCTGTGGAAACCACTGAAGAAGAGGGGAGAAGAAAACATATTTGTGCCTTTTGCTTTTGCTTTACTTTCCAGGAAAGGCTGGTGGAAGTCAGAGTTGGCACTTCCGCATGCCTGATGACTCTTGGCTTAAAGCCTGTTGCTCCTGGTGCCTGGGTTACAAGTTCAGGCTGGCTGCAGTCTTGGCCTGATCTCTTGTGCCCTTTGGGGAACAAGTTCAACACTTCAAGCTCACAGCAGTGTACTGGGCTGCTCCATGGGTTTTCTGCAGCCCAGCTCCTTGCAGAGGTCTCCTTTGGCCCATCAGCAACACTTCCCAGGCCAACAGCCCTACAAAATGCTGCCCTGTTTCAGATGATTCACCCACCTGCTTTTGAGCTTGCAATGTTAAAATATCGAAAAGGAATAAACGTAATGTTCAAACCCCCAGAAAATAAAAAGAACAAGTTTCATTAAGTGAATCCACACAGTCAGCCTGAATCTCAAATAAATACTTTACATCTTTTTTTCTACAAAACAGAATATTATAGCGTAACAAAATAAATAAATATCTATTATAAATTGTCCTTTTCTGTATTACTCTTGGAAAGAGTTACAGCAGGTTTGTTTGGAAGCTTGAGGTGCCGTTGTAAAAGTTTCCCTCTTGCATGTGTAGTGTGGGTAGTGTTCAGTGGTGCACTGGGGCTGGGGAACACCACAGGATCCCACCTGCCTGCAGCTCCGTACTGCCTGCACTTCTTGGCCTTGTTACAGGCAGGAAGTACCTGATGGAAGAGAGGTTGTTTTGTTTATTTCTTAAAAATACATGGATGTTTGAAGTGCGAGGGTAAAGATCCTGGCTATATGTATTGTCAAATGGGTCCTTGCATCTCTCTGTGTGAGGGGAGCCTCAAGTTTTCCCCTTGCAATCCCACCAGCAGTCTTTAGCTTGGACCTACGGGCATAATGCCCATGGAAGACGTATTGTATTGCCTCCACTGCTTCTTTTTGTCCAAAATGCTTCTCAAAAGTCAGGATGTACAGGCTAGGCATATCCTGCAAGGAGGAGGAGGAACCTTCTCAAAACTGGGCTGTGATTTTCTGAAACGATGCCACCTTACTCAGTGGACCCCCACCTCAAGCTTGCACCCTTCATCATCAGGATGGCCTCCGTGGACAACCAGCAGTGCCTCAGCCCCTACCACAGCATGGCACCCTGGGCTTTCCTCACAGAGGCACAGTTTTTCTCTAAGACCTCATTTTGTTTGAGACACATCCTCAAAGCTGCTGCCTTTGTGAGCTGCACTAGGAGTGCTGAGGGAGGTTATTTTAGGAGCTGAAGAAGAATGGCCCAAAGGTCTGGCCACTGCTTGCACAACTATTTTGTGCATAAATATAGTAGTAGAGTGACTCTTCTGCCACAGCATGCCTTGTCATTGACACAGTGAATATTTTCTAGCTGCCAGTGCTGTCAGGTGCATATGGCCTGGCTACGCAGAATCAGGTTTCCCCTTCCCAGCGTGCTGCTGCCCAGCTCTCTGGCTGGGGACTGCTCCCTGTGTCCCTCTCCAGCCCAGGAGCAGCCCGGGCTGGGCAGTGTGTAGGCAGCCCTGGTGTGGCTGGGCAGAGCTGGGTCATGGTACTGAGCCCTGTGACCGTGGGGTTGAGCCCTGCTGCACCCTGGGGAAAGGCAGACCTACCCAGCATGGCCAGGCTGGGTTTCTCTCCGGGTCTCGTGGGTGCCTGAGGCAGTGGTAGAGGAGACAGGTGAGAAGGAGGAGGGAAATCAGGGGGACCAGTACTCCCACTGCAATGGCAATAGAGGGTGCCACGGTGCTGTCCGGATCTGTGGGGAAGGCAGCAGGTACTCAGTAAAAAAAAGTAAAAAAACAGCCCAAAACCCATTTCAAACATTCCTTGGCTATTCCCTGGGGTGAGATGGGGTGGATAGGGGCACTGGGACCACATGCCAGCATGACACACACAAGCAGCAGTGCCAGCAGACCTGTGCTCGGGGTCTGATGTCATGATCAGGCGTGAGGAACCCAGCCCTCCAAGCTACCCAACACTGGCACGTCTTGTTGGTGTGTCAGGGTATGTGACAGGAAAACCTGTCACAGAGGAAGGGAGCCTGGGGCACATCATGGCATATAGGGGGACCTAGGGAGGAGTAAGACATTGTATGTCATAGCCCAGGGCATCTGGATGTTCCCAGGCACCTCCTCCATCACTCCCAAGCCCAGTCCCGGCTGCTCTTCAGGATGCCTTCCTCACCTGTCCCCAGCGCTCTGAGGAGTTTTGTGCTCTATCCCAGGGGGTGTTTCTCCACCCCACTTCAGAGCAGGAGCAGAGTTACGTACTTACCCTGCTCCAGGCTGTCCGTGGGCAGGACCAGGGTCACATTTAGAGAAGGGTGTTGGATCACACAGGCGATGGGGTACTCATGGAGGATTTTGGAAGGGGTGTGGGTGAAATTGCTGATGACAGTCACGGTCTGGTTGCTGAACTTGATGTGATATTCCCTTGGCTTCTGCTGCAGGATGCTGGGAAGGTGCCAGGTTATTTTTGGAGCTGGTTTCCCAGTTGCTGAACAGCTTATCCCCACCACTTTCTCAGACTCCTCAGCTTTGTCTGGATTGGGTATAAGTTTAGCTTCCACTTTGGGGTCCAAGATGGCTGTAAACGACAAAATGACAAAATGCGTTAGTTTCTACCCACATTTGAGCAAAGAGCATCTGTATTTACAATTATCTTGGAGGACAAGCTTGATATCTCATCTTACTTCCCCCTTCCCAAACCCCAGCAGTGACAAATAAACATGAAAGTGATCAGGCAGCAGTCTAGAAGTGAAGAGCTAGACAAAAATAAAGGGCAAGGGGCAGAAACATCTGTGGTTCAATTCTGTTATTAACAGCTGCACAGCAGCATGCCAGCTGAGAAGTGGTGATTATGGATGGGTTCAAATCAGTAGGTAGTGAAACTATGAAATTATATGTCTTCCTCTCTCTGGAAGAGCTGATCTGCTTGAATGAGTTAAAATTCTTGTTCTTTTCCCTTAAACTTACCTGCAGGATTAGCTTTACTGCTGTTTGAGGTGTGTAGAATTGTGGATCACAGGACTAAATAAAGCCCGACCTCATTCATTTACTATGGTTGCAGCTGCCTAGGAAAAATAAGTGTGTATTTCTCATTTTTTGTATAACCAATAGACAGAAACTCAAACCCCACAGGGCTACTGAAACCTCTGAGAGCAACAAGGAAAGTGTGTAGGGGGATTTCAGCTGGAACTTCTCAAAATCTCCCATGTATGAAAAGACTAGTGTCACAAACAGTTTATGTTTCAACTAATAAATGATCTCCGAACTTCTTCTTTCACTCACGGGACGCATAAAAATAACACATCCACCCCCAGCATTAGCACAGCATTCAAACATTAGGTTGCAAAATTTAAAAGCAGTCAAAGACAGTTGTCACAGATGTTTCCATAAAGGATGAGCAAAACTGCTTGGTATCTTGCCAGAAACACGCGCACTCCGTGCCTGCTCTTCTCCAGACTAAGCAGTTCTCTCTCTTCTCACGTTGGACCCCAAAGCGTTTTCCTGCAGGGCCAAACTTCTCTCTAGCAAATGTCTGTAACAGATGCACTCTCAAAACCTGTAAGTGCTTGCTTTTGCAGTAAAGTCCCTCTACACTGTTTGCTACTGTGTGCCCACTGTTGATGTTTGATACACACACTTAAATTAACTGCTGCTTTTGCCTTTCATTAAAATATTTGTTTCCAGTGAAAAAGTCTTTGCAAAAAAGGTTGTGTGCAAGTACTTGCTTTAGTTGCTCATGAAGAGAAGTAATGCAGATGTTCCCAAATTCGAGCTCTGTCAGCATTCCCAAATATTTGAAAAAGGGAGTTTCTAATGAGGTACATCACTTTGATTATCTGTAATGGCTTCTGTAATTAGAGGGAGACTGTCAGGTCATGATTTGCTTTTTATGTTTAAAAACTCTTGACAGCGGTGTCATAGAAACTGATAAAAGATTATAGGCATTACAGTATGCCTCATGATGACATCAAGCCTTTTCCAACCCTGTGGGTGTTCACCAGCAGCCCCGTGCCTCAGTTTCCCTGTCTAAGAAAGAGCGATGGGATTTCTCCAGTGTGCTCAAGACTTCCAGGCAAATGGTGGTGTTTACGATGAAGGCAGGTCTCTGAAGATGGCCCAGCAAATGCCCAGGGAATTTTGTGACCCAGCAAGTCTTGCCCATTCTCATGTGTCACATGTATCTTTCTCCACACCTGCTCCCTCAATCCTCTTCCTGGATTTCATTCTAATACTCTTTGGCAATGAAGGTTGACAAAATATTTCCAAAGTAAAGTGGAGGAGGAAGGGGAACAGACTGTTCAAAAGAGACCTACCAAGCATGATTGAAACTATTCTATTCCAAAATGGATTATGCTGAAGTGTTAAGAAATTTCTGCTTCTTCCTGGGTTTGCTGTTCCCAACAGGCAAGTATGAGATTCCTCTAGTCATACCTGTTTCTTTAATCACAGTGTTGTATCCAGTTCTTACAGGGTTTCACTTCCCCTTACCACACAGCGATGGTGCCCATCCGGGAACAGCTGCTCTTGTGAAGGCTGTGTAATAGGGCAATTACCAGCTTGTAAACTCCCTGGCAGTCCCCTCTTGAGAGCAAAGACATGGCAGCGTTTCATTTTCAGCTGGTGACTCTGGCTTGCTTACCTTGCCCTGTGCCCCTGAGCCTCGGGAGATTCCTGCTGGCTTCACACTCCATCATGGGGCACCCTCTGGGCTTGTTCAGACAAGTTGTTCCCATCGTTATGAGTGAGGGGATAAGGGAGCAAGACCGTTGCTTTTAAGTAGCATCACATGCATTAGCTTCAATGAAAGATATCATATATGAACCAAAATCTTCTGTCACAGTGCCAAATACTCAGATTGTTCATGCTGACCCCCTCAGGACAAGTTTGATGCAGCATGTTACAGGAAGGCCACCGGTGAGGCAGCCCCTGGCAGTGGCCCACGAGCCCACGAGAGAACTGAAACCCTTCTCAGTTGATACATTTTCGTCTGAGATGCAGGAAAAGACGTTTGCATGAGTGTGTGTGGCAGCAGAAAAACAACTTTTTTTAGAAGTAGTACTCTGGTGAAGGATGAACCAGAGCCACAAGGCTGGTGGTTTTGGTAAGAAATTCCCCCACTTGGATAAAAAAACCCCCAAAACCAAACCAAAAACAGAAACAAAAGAAATCTAACTTTGTGTTCAATTTACATGATAAAGAAGAATGGGATCCCTCTGCAAGGCAGTTCCATGTTTTTCCTGTAATGTATAGTCAGTGTTTACCCTCCAAGTGACTCAGAGCCGGGTGTCTTTAAGAAACACCTTCCTCTTCATGTATGAAATATCATATGAATTTATTGTCATTTGTCTTTTCTGGTCTAGGAGTTTTCCCAAAAGAAGGGAAAAAGCACTTTTGTTCCAGACTTGATTTTCCCCTGTATTTCCCTCCACCTTTCCCCTATAATCCAGGAGCGTCTTTTCTCCACACAGAGGACTCCAGACACATGTGTGTGGACACATGGATCTGTGTCTTTGTCAGCAGAAGGTACTAGGGATAAGCAAAATACTCTGCAGAGGTTGTATCACCAGTGACAGGTTGCAGACACTGATATTCTCCACATGGGACATGATCTTTGGCCAATGTCCTCACAGCAGAGTGTTCCATGAGGAAGTCAGGAGCCAACAGGTTGGCCTCAGAGCATGTTTAATGTCTCAGCTTTCTCACAGGCAGCAAAGCAGCAGCCTTCCTCAAAAGATAAGCAGCTTTTCACTTGTTTCAATTGAGTTCATCTATTTGTCTTTATTTCAGCTTGTACTTGCTAGTTGATGATTAGGTATGAAGGTGACAAATATTGCCACCTTGACTCGTGATTTGTTTCAACTATCTTCTTTAAGGTAGTTAATGCTGACTTGCAGAAGATATTCATGTGGCAAATCTCATGAGCCCTTTTGCTGACCCCAGCACAACTACTGTCATTTTTACTATTGCTTCAAAATGATCTTTCAACTACTCTGGTCATGCACGTGCCTCTTTGCCTTTTGAATATTTTGCAATTTTTTTAAGACCAAATACAGACCAAGGAAACAACTGCCTGAGTTCCAGGCTTAGGATGTGAGAGCGGCAGTGAAATTAAGCAGGGGAGCACAGGGTTCATGGCTGTGGGCAGCCAGCTGTCACCACAGGACCAGGGAAACTTGGAGGAAGTTCATGGGTTACACATCAGCTTTTGAATCTCACTCTTGCTGACTTGAAAGGGAAGAAAATTAAATAAATGTTGAATGCTGGTCAGAGGTAAAACCAGAGAGGGAGAGAGAGCCAGAGAGGAAGCTGAGCCACTTTTCCCATAGCAATGTAGCAATGTCAGGGAAGGATTCTCACAGGGAAAATTACTTGGTCCTCAGAAGAAAGTCTGTACGCAATTACAATGCCTTACCGTAAACCTTGAGACACATCCTGCCAGTGACAGCCCCCGAGGGAAACGTGTTGAAGATGCATTTGTAGCATCCTTCGTCTTGGAGGGTGACTCCATGAAGGGAGATGGCCGAGGCTTGTAACTCGCTGTGGGCGAAGCTCACGTGGCTGACGTAGCCCTTGGCGATCTTCTGGCCGTTCATTGTACTGTAAGTCGCTATGTTGTCTTCAGGCCCATCTGTCTCCTTCTGCCAGGTCACCTGTATCACATCTTCTTTTGTGACTGACTGGCACGAAAAAGTAACGTTTCCTCCTGCCTGGACTGACTGGACTTTTCTGTTCAGCACCTGCACAGAGGCTGCGAGAGAAGCAGGAGCCACACTCAGCGTTTCTCACATTTCTCACACTCGTCTGCAGCCCACCCCCAGCAGAGGCCCCCACAGCCCTTCACCCTCTCTTCCAACCACAGCAACTCCAGAAGATTTCTCTGCCCCTCCATCCAGGGAAAAAAATTAAAATGCAGCTTGAAAGAACTACTCCAAGAGCTTCACTGGACCTGCCACCTCTCACACCAGGCATCTCACCAGCCTGATACCTGTGCTGTAGAGAGCACCACTGAGAAAGGCAGCTCTGTTGCTGGGAGCCACTGATTTCTGTCTGCTAGGACTGCTGTCCCACGGGCACCTACGGAGAGGTTCCCTAAAGTTTCAGCTGTGCTAGTGACCAAACAGACATCAGGCCATTACCTCTCTCTTAGCCCTTCTGTGGTGCAGAGTGAAGGAAATCTGTAAAACTGCTAAAAATTATGTGTCTCAGTTTACACTGTGCATTCACACTTGTCAGAGACTGGCAAGAGAACAGAAAACCAGAAGGAAACAGCAAAGTAGGGAGACCAGAGGCAAACTGCATTTGTCCTGCTATCTCAGGCTTGAGGCCATGCAGCTGGGAAGCAGCTGCCGAAGAGACCTTGCTGAAGGCCCACAGGCAGAAAACTTCCACAGCATAAATGCCATGCTATTAAAGGTCTCCAGGGAAAAGAAAAAAGTCTACTCTTCCAATTTATAGACCCATGAAAAAACTATTAAGGGTACAGGCAAGGAAAAGGGATGCTCCCAGGCTGACAGCTCAGCTCCACAGTCCTCTTAGGATAATAGTTTTCAGAGTTTAGTTGTGTACATCAGCAGGGGGAGGAAGATATCAGCAAGGACAGGTGCATCACTGAAGACATATAATTCAATGTATAAGAACTTTAAATATCTTTGCAGGCTTTAAAGAGGAGTGAGGCTGCCTGCAGTGCCCAGAGGTACACTTGGCTAACCCACCCAACAAAGTGCTCTCAGGTTCTGGCTGTGGCCACGGCCAGGCAGATCTCCACCAGAGAGCAAGAACCCAGCTGTGAAGCTGTACCAGTCATTTTGCTGTGCCATAGGCAGAATACAAATCATGATCATGAAAGCTAGTTTGAAACTAATTCAGCCTTTTATATATGATTTTTAAATACAAAGCCAGTGTAACACACATACACACTTTTGGTGGCCTGAGCAGATACCTACAAGCAATGTTTGGCTGGTTGCAATAAGTTTGTACATTTCTCTGAAGCTTATAAATGCCCTGGTGGTAAATTAAGCAGCAGATGCTATCAGTGCAACCAGCAGTAACATGCCTGAAGCCCCAGGTGAGCACTGCAGTCGTGTGCAGTGCCACGAGTGCTGTGTCACCTACGGACTTGCCCCAGGGGGGTGAGAGATGGGGACTGTAGCCTCCAGCAGTACAGAAGGCTGGCAGGGCCACCGAGGTCCCTAAGGCCATTGCAGTGATGACACAGACACACAGACAGACAGAAGGAGTTACCTGATGTAATGGTCCAGATGCTGGAGAGGAGCAGGCAAGCGACCATCGTCATCTTAGCTGTACGCTCAGCGGGACGAAAGAGCGACTGATGCCCCGAGTGTGACTTCCCCCTTTTTATTCACTGCGCTCTTACTCTAGGGACATTCCCAGCCCCTTCAGCTACAGTAAGAGGGACCTCATAAAAACTTCCTGCCCCTCTGACACTCAGCTGAATGACAAAATTTTTGGGGGACATGACAACAAACGTCAGAGTCAGAAACTGACAATTTCCCAGCTGGGCTGCTAGACAGACAGGAGGAATGGGTTTTTCACAAGCACCTTTTCCATAAGGTTGGGTTTTCACAAGTGCCTAAATGCAAACACAGATTTCTAAGCCAGCTAAGCAGTGTCTGTGGGTTGCAGGATGAAAGGCCACCCTGGTCCTGACCTGAGCTCTAGGAAAGGAGTTCGGGTCAGTAGTCATGCTGCAATCAGTAGTGCAAATGTCCCCAACTCAGAGGACCCAGTTAGAGGTCTGCATCCTTCGTGTAAGTCAGTGGACACCTAGGAGCTGCTGATGCTGCTGTAACACAACTCTTTTTCTAGGTTAAGGAGACCAGAGCAAGCCAAGTGCCAGACCCAGGACCTAGGTCATATGTTGCCTCAGAGAAAAAGCAGAGCTTTGGTCTCCCCTTTCTTCCACTGAGGTCACCCCCATCTCCAGAGGTCCATGATCCCTCCCCAGCCCTGTCCCTAGGAAAGACAGGGGTGCTGTCCCACAAGCACCCTCTCCACCCTCACTTGAGATGACATTAAAATAGGTGACACAGCTGGTTTGAGCCATTGTTTTTGTGCATTTTTGCTTTGTCATTGTTACTCCTGTGTTTCCCTTTTTTCTGTGGGTTACGATCATATTGCCGAAACCAGCCAAACCCTCAGCCCACGGGTGGCTCACACACCACACAGTGGAGCAGCCAGCCAGTGACACCTTATTTGCTAATCAAACTTCTACTGGTAAACTGTGTTTCATGTCTCTGCTGCCTGATGAGGTGGCTTACATTTTTGCAAGTTCTTACTACTCCAAATGACTACAATTGCAATTAAAATGTTTTCTTTCAGTCGAATGGCTGCACGGATCAGCCTCGAATTGTGCAGATAGTTTGGGGGAAGCCAACGGGCCCAAGTCATAACTTTACACAAAAAATTCTCGGATGTGCTTACACATTTACAGTTCCTTTTCTCTTCCCAAGAGGTAATTAATCTGAACACAGAAACAGCTCAGGTATCAGTATGCCTCTAAAGAAACATTTTGGATGCGCTTTTGAGTAGGTTCAATAATTAATTCCTATCAGTCTACAAAACTGCAATTGCTTCACACTATTGTCTTTTTCATTTGAGGTATCTTGTTTTCCTTTCCTTGAGTTATTTTCATAGTTGCATTTCCATGCAAAATTTCTGGAAGGGCATTCTGGTCTGATCAAAATGTGAAAACAACGTAAAAATGGTTCTTGTGGGGTTTGTCAGACCATTTTACAGCTATTAAGCAGTACGATTAGCTCCAACAGGCTCTGGACCAAGACTCAGGAACAAGTCAGACAGAAAACTGCCTCCTGAAATGGAGATTCACAAGCAAATATTTAATTTCTGATTGTCAACCTCTCAGAACTTCCAAAACTGAAAAGAAAACCCCCCCAAAACCACAACCCATTGAAGATTTGCTGTACGTCATTTTGCAGGAGAGTCTCTTAGCAGGGTGCAAATGATCTCTGAAAAGATTCATTACAGTCTTTGCTGATGTCCTCATCTTAGTTCTGCTACAATTTTGAAACAACAGTTTAATAGGAGAACTTCCCACAAGCTTGCAGACACTGTCCTTATAGCTGACACCACTTAGCGATCACAAAAGGAACTGCACTTGATTTTAAAAAGAATTGCAAGCCCAGTTGATATATAGGAAATGTTTGTGTCGACTTTAACCATCTTATTTTCTGCCAGAAACACTCTAATCTTCCAATACCCTGAAATCTGTGTGCTGCTAGAGCAAACACTTCTTGGTAAAGATCAGACCTTCAGTCTTAGCAAAGGATGAAGAAAAATGGTGGGAAAAATTTGTTGGCTCCGTTTGCAGCACCTCTGTATACCCAGCATAACTGGTGATAAAAGCCATGTGTTTTGGCTGCTCTTTCCAAGCTCTGCCTTTTTCCGGGTTCCGAGCATGCAGAGACCTCCCTACTAGCCTACATGGGTGGGTGTCTGCATGCACATCTGACTGCTGCAGCATCTCTGTCTGATCCCTTCCCTTTCTCCAGGGACCAGGCAACATCAGCACTTGATTAATTACTTTAAACACAAGGCAGGCAGAAATATGAGATCCACTCATTAACCCTACCACTTATTTAAATTTTGTGAGTGTATCTTTAAGTGCATATATTCAGACAGTTCCTGCTCTGTTCATCTTTACATAGACTTTTGGTGGATTACAGACCTCTTCCTTCCTTGTCAGTCAAATCCCATGCTCCTCTGCTTCAGTTACACAGCATCTTCATTTCTGAGAACTGCACACCATGCCTGAGCTTCAGTCACATTTTAAAGTCAGTGAAAGCTTGGGAATAAATCAGGCAGAAGATTGTTCTGCAACTACTGCTTGAAAAACCCAGTGATTCACATTCATTTCTTCCTTTCTGCTTCACCAAGATGTTCTCTCTAGTTCCCAGTAAATCAAAAAAGGACATAGAAGAATTAATTGCACAGTCATGAAATGCCAACTTTTCCCCACAGCCCAAATGACTAATGGAGTTGATAACTCATACGGATGAACTTCCAGAAAATGTTCCCGATGGGAACCGCTCAGGCACAATTGGAGTCTAAAACATTGTTTTGTCAACCATCAATCCAAACCACTGTTTTTTCAACCACCCAAACCCAGGTTAACAACTGAGCAGCTACCTACCTTGTCAGCAGGATTCAGTGCCACCTCTCAAGGCATTGCCTGTAAAGAGAACAGAACAGGTGGGGATGGTTTCATCCACTCATGATTTGCACTGACTTTTGGAGGTTGGTTCACCAGTACTAGTAGTGGGTGCTACTACTGGGAAGCAGCTTGTCAAATGCAATTGAACAGGCCTGGAACTTTATAATGTATTTGTAGGTAGTGCCTGCATACGGCAAATCCCTCCACATCTCCACTGAGTTTGGAGAGCTGCAGTACTGGGGTAAAGACAGTATCTGCATCTACCAAAATATGCTCCAGCCTACGTCACTGCACCAGGGTGAGCTGCAGCAGGACTTGCAGTACGCAGACAAGGGGTGCTGCAGGACTGAGTGGTGCTCAGCTGGGCTGGGTTACAGACAAATTGTCACATTTGTGCACAAGTTTTAGATCAGAGAACACAAAGGTAGTTTATCCACAGACACAGCTGTTTATCGTGTCACGTTTGGATTGGAGGTATTTAGTCTGTGATCTCTCCCCAAACTGGACTTCCTCCCTCTGCTAACACACTGCTGTCAGCTAAAAGTTACAGCTGCTGGTGCTGAAATCCAGTGTGGGACTGCCTAATAAAGTGCAAAAGAGAAGCAAAGAAGGGGGCTAATAAGCTGAGACCTAGCTTGTGGTGGTATACATCTGTCTGCAAAGCGACATGTTCCCAGGGGACAGCTCATGCTGTCAAACTGTCCTGTTAAGTGCCCAACCCTTCTTACCTCTGAGTTTTGATGAAATTGCTGCAGGCACCTAAAGTCTTACAGAGACTTTTTTTTCTTTTCCAGCAATGTACCACAATTAGAATGTGTGAACAAAAACTTGCTCATTCCCCAGACCACTGGCCCTGCAAATAGTATTTCTGGTTCTTCTATTTTATTTCTTCCTTGCAGCTCAGGAGGAAGAGAAATGGATAAAAATGATAATAATTAAAAAAAAAAGACAAAAAGGAGAGGAAGAAGCAAAAAAAAAAAAAAAGACTGCACTGGAAAGCTTCAGTAGGAAAGCTTCGTTGGGGTTTGAAGTGTTTGGTTTTTACCACTCAGTGTGTCACACCATTTCTCAGAAGAGTGAGATGGCCGGGCATGTGGTTTCCTCTTGCCTAAAGCACCCTAAGTTGCTATTTTTGGTCAATGGAACCTAGAGGGAGTCCATGCTGCAGCCCCCTAGTCACTTCATGAAGGTCATCAGCACCAGCACACATGCCAGTGTCCCAGGAAGCCACATCACTCATCCATTCCACCCTTCTTCCTCTCCCACCCCCACTCATAAGGTTTTCATGCAGTGGAGGCTTTGGGGTGGGTTTTTTTTTTTAGGTGAACAACACCTAGATCCTGCATATGTTTTACAGTGTGAGAGATTATAAGCTGCTTTGGTCACTGAGTTTCATTCTGTAACACAGACAGTATAGAAAACAATCTAGCCTGAAAGGAAACCACACCAAAATTGGCTACCCAAGGAGCAGAGGTCCAGTGGAAGGATGGGAAACTGCCCACCAAAAATAAGGTAGGTCCAATACCATTTTATATTTAATTACTAAACAAGACGATTAAGAGAGCGATTCCATTAAAATCGGAGCAAATAATACCTTCAATGGATCAGACTTAAGAGACCATGTAAGGCACCGGGAGGAGCCTCGTGATTAAAGAAACGTAATTTAGAAAGCAAATTAAGACGAACAATATAGTTCTTAGTATGTCAAAGAGTATTACCTCAGGATGATTTTTAGGGAGGTGACTTCATCTCTAGGCTCCCAGCATGGAGAACCTGCTGAAGGGAGGACGGGTGTTTGTCCTGGTGAGGAACACAAGGAACTGAAAGGACTTGTCATCTGCTCCAAGTTTCCAGGAAGGAAAATTACACTTGGAGGTTCACCTTGCCATCTCTTATCTGTTGGCACCATGTCTCGTAAAGACAAGCTTTTATATACACTATAAAAAAATAGATTAAACTGTGCAATGTATTTAAATGCCGTACATGGGATATATAAGCATGCTATAGTTATGGACAACAGTGGTTAGGAATAGATTGTCTCCTAAGGAGCTGTGAAGACAGAGGAGTATGCTCAGCAGGAGTCACCTAGGACAGGTGGAAAAATTCCCTTTCTTTCCCCTTGTTTACTTGGTAAGTCAAAGAAAAGGTCCTGCAGTCTCTGAGTATTGTATCCTGACTGCTTACTTGGTCTTGCGGTGCTCAGATGTGGCACTCCATTGCCAAAATTAAATGTTCTGCCTGTTTCCAAAGAGAACCCATCCCTCATCTCCCTGCAGGTCTGTGTCCAGACATCTAAGTCATGACCACTTTACCTAGCCTTGGGGGAAAGGGCAAAAGCCCCCAAAGGATGAAGCCTTACTCTCAAAAGCAGTTTGAGTCAAGGCAGGCAAAATCTATATGAAGCTGACGGGTCCTCTCCTGTGGTAGCAAGCAGCAGAGATGAGCTCACATGCCTTCAGGGTCTCAGCTCCAGGCTCTTTGCTCCCAGGCTTGCAGAATACCCACTGCTTTAAGTGGCTGTGTCACACTTATAGGTGGGACTTCTGATCCTTTTGAAATCATTTGTGACTGCTTTTTTGGGAGAAGGAAACAGAACTGTGAGCAAGGTTTGTGTAAAGCACACAGCTTCTAGCTTGACAAGGCCATGAACCCCATATCCCTCATGAGAGCAGAGGGGAGGAAGGGCCACTACTGTAAAAGGCAGCATCAACATGGTGCTGTGTCCCAACCTGTGCTCATCCACAGTCTGTTTTCCTCACTGTCAAAAACTCTAACAAATCACTGCCAGAAGAAGTAACTCAGGGACAGCATTGACCAGCTGCCCTTGCAGGACAGAAACTGCAGTTCATCTCACTCCAGCTCCTGTCATTGAGCTGTGTCAGCCTGGTGTGACTTTTGTGTAGCGTGTCAGTCCCCTGTCATGAAGTCGCGTCTTTCAAAAAAATCATAGACCTCGCGGAAGTTCAGAGGCATGGAAAAATAACAAGGGTAGGGGTTTTTTTTGTCCGTTTGTGGGTTTTTTTTCAGAGAAACAGCCATTCCTATGCAGTCACAGCATCCTTGCAAAGCTCTGGTGCTGCAGAGGTTCAATCCTAGCTGCTGCTGCTCACTAGGCAGCATGAGAGGCAGAGACTGAGGGTTAGCAGGGAGAGGCTCCTCTGCTCCACAGCACCGGGCAAGCTCAGAGTCAGCCTAAAGAGATAGCTCGGGTTACAACATAAAATTTGCATGTAACTTGTGGAAGTCAGCCCATCCGCACCAAATTCCTAAGGAATGAGGCTCATGTAGGTGCATTATCCAGCTGTCAGTATCTCTCCTGAGTAACTTTAACCAGACCTTGAAAAAAAATCAAAGTAAAGGGGCACCTGCAGGTGGTGCAGTATCTACAAGGCTTGGGAAAATTGGCAGTCTGGTGGAGGAAATAACCCCAAATTATCACTCCCGTGAGACTGGCAGGAAAAGTTCATCAGCTTCAGGTGAATTAGTCTGTATGTCAGTGCTGACCAGCGATGGCCAGTGGGGTCCCAAGAAGGACGGGCCAGAGCCAATTACAGGGGTGACAGGAATTAAAATGTACTGAAGTGATGTGGCCTTGGGCCTTCTTTGCCAAGCAGCCAGACATGGAGCAAGAATGACACTTTTTTGCTTGGTTGGATGTGGGGGTTTTTGAGGTTTGGCAGTTTTGTGTCAGAGGTGGTGGGTTTAAGGAGTCAAGTGGGAACTGGATATTTCTGGAGGAAGGTCCAGCTATTTCTGGACCAGTAACCTCTTGTTGAGGGACACCAAGTTAGATGGAGACAACAGCTGCAGCGGCTCCCCACTGAAGCCCTTGCTCCTTAAAGCTGGTGCTGTCAAGTCCCAAAGCAGTTCAGAGGAGCATCGTATTTCTGGAAGCAGAGGGGGGTGGTGGCTCTTAAAGGTGGCTCAATGGGTCTCTGTGTGACCTTACCAACAGTGTCCCACCATCTCTGCCCAAGAAATCCCCCTTCATGGACAGAAAGTGCACCTACTGCCTTGTTTCTTGGCCCTTTGGCAGTTGGATCGAAGTAAAGTCAGATTGAAGGCAATCTTAATTTCAGGTGTACGAAGCAGACCTAACACAAACTTGAGCTCTTAATAGCAAGTGCTTAATGCTGCAGCTACTGGGAGAAAACGTTGCAGATTTCAGACCCCATCATTTATCCATAGCCTCTGCTGCTTCCTCTAATTCATTTCTTGACTTTCTTTCCTTCTTCCTGTACATCCCCAAGTCTGCCACTTCATCCCTTCCATTTGAAGAGTTCACTTTTAAGCAGCATTTCTATATTTGGGTTGACCACTTCCCGAGCATGACAGCTCATGTAGCTGCTCTGCAAAGAGCAAAGTGAAACTATAGAAAGAAAGAAAAGGAATTCTGCCTTTGTTTTCATTTTAATAGTTGAGTCACATTTCTCCTCTTTTGAGATTGCTGGTCAGAACTATTTCCCAGCAGTTTCACTGATAAGTCTGTGCCTCTAATTGCCTCCAAAAAAACCCCATCAAGAGCCAACCCCCAGAACCCCTCCAACCATAGGCAAGTTGGGCTCCCTTCCTCTAACTGCTGGGGACCTGCCTCAGAGAGTCACCATATCTGTAGCATAAATGCTGATGCTGAGAAATGCTTTCAGTTCTCAGACCACGCGACATATTTTCCCACAGGATTACGTATGATTGACTAAATTAGAATTTGTCTGAGAGCTGTGCAGCAGTTTACAGGTCTAATTTGCTAGAGGAACATATGCTATTTATCTTTTGACAGTCCTGGGGAAGAGCTACCCAAGCCCAACAGCCTTTCCCCCTGAGCTAGGGACTAAAAAATCAGAAGCCAACTCAATATAAACAAGAAAAAGTGGAATAAATAAAGATTAGAAAACAAAAATACTTATATCAAACTCACAATGCTTGACAGTTACAATAGACTCCTAATGTGAATTATGTGTATTATAAATATATATACATATTTTATTTTAAATGTATCTCATAGGAATTCTAGGACTGAATTGCATGAAACAGTCCCCCTTGCATCTCCAACTAGGCTAGAGGAGTTTGTGCTCAGTGTAGGAAAACCACTATACATAATTCAGAGAAAATCAAGTAGGCAACCTGGAAGGAGGTAGGATTATAGCTTTATTTTTATATACAGCTGTAATGAAAGCAATCTAAATTCTCCCACTAAACAGAAAGTTGGGAAGTTTACTAATATTTTTAAAACTTTCTGCTACTCTTATAAAAGCACCAGAGGCATATATAGAAAGAAATTATTTCAGGTGAGTTGCCAAACATACGTATTATATAAAAGAAATGAGACCATTTATCAAGGAAAGTATCAACAACAACAAAGGATCGTGGCATCACCTATTTACCTCAGTCCTGGGAAAGAAAGAGAATATGCAAATAAGCAATTAGAGACCCACTCATAATGTACCTCCATCAGCAAGTTGGGCATAATTCCCAAGTTCGTATGACTTGGCAGCTTCACACCCCTTAGTGCATTTTTATTATATATATAAATCTAACATGTAAATATTACGACTACATTGCAAAATGCTTGTAAATTACAGGCATTTTACAAACACAACATTTTAAACTATAAGCGATAACACACGCCCCAGCAAGCCTAGTTCCTATTACCAAGAAACATGGTAACAGCAATCTGAACATAATGTAAAGGCTCCAAATTTGCCAAATAATTTCAGTACCTAAACCTGGAAGTATTTTGCTTGAAACAGCAAGGATTATTTCAACTGCTGGAGACAGATGTGCCAGAAGCTGTCGTGTCTGCTGGCCTTGCATTCACCCGTGTGTTTGCAATTCGTGTTGCACAACTGCTGTGTTTTTCTTCCTTTTGATTTTCACCAAGACACACTAAAGGTTAGATTGATGTAGATCATTTGTGGAAGCATGAGACCAGTTCTCTGCTATCTCTTCCCAATATTTACTGCTCACTCACTCATCTAGAGGTATTTAATGCAGACAAGCCCAGAAAGGCTGATTGCTCCTCAAATCCACAAACTTTGCAGAGGTACTACCAGGCTCCCCACAGGGGGACACAGGCTGTACTTCCCACGAATAGCTACTTGCTGCAACACCTACCAACAGCCACCAGCTTGCTCCTGCCATCCCTCCATCCTCGGACTGGTGATTTGTGCCTCTACCCCCCTGTGACAGCCCCTGCTCCTGCAGCTTCCAGGGCAGAGCTGGATGCCTTGCCAGGGACTACCTCCATGGGAGAACAGCAGCAGAGAAGCTAAATAAAGTGCCCTATCCAAAAAGCTGGAGAAGGGGTCTCCCTATGGGAACACAGGTGCCCATGGGTTGGCAGTGGGGATGAGGACTATGCAGTGCCAGACCTACCCGTTCACCTTTATTTTCATGCCCTAGGTGGAAAATACCAATACCGATCAGGAGAAAAAGATATTGCCACAAGCAAAGTAAGTAAAGAGGCTCCTTGAGCACCTCGGGGGTGATGTGGCATGGCATGGGTGGGGGCAAGGGGGAGCTCTCTGCCAGCATCCAGCATCGCTGCAGAGGTGGTGGCAGCAGCCATGACCAGGCATTTTGCATCCCAGTAGAGGGCAACCTCCTTGCATCCAGTGGGGGATACCTGCCCTCTTGATGCCCCACTGTGCTGGATTATTTGGGGCCTCTGGTCTATTTTGTTTCTGGAGAAGGCAGGATGAGGGGGCAGCTGTCCTCTCCAGTTACAAAACCATGTGTGCCTCAGCCACCGCTTTGCAGCTGCCTCCTGCAGTGGTGAACGTGGCATTCCTACATCCTAAGCA